TCAAAACGAATATGACCGTTGCTGTAATTCAGGTACTCCAGAGCTGCTTGCTGAGAAGATATTGCCCTCCCGCTGAGTATCTCCGAAAATTGCTGCAATCGGAAAAGAAAAAGCATGAAGAGGAAAACCATGGAAGGAAAAAACATAACCGGGTCAATGGGGCAAAACAGGTTAGGAAACCCAAGGCCTGGATGATGGCCCCTGCATTTGAGCTGGCAGACTGAAGAGGGTTATACTTCACAGCGCACGATAGTTAGGGGATAGTCCTCCCTCTCCCACTTAATTATTATTAATTATTAAAATCATTTCTTTAAGTTAATATTCTATACTGGCTGCAAACTATCTCAGCAATCTAAAACAATAAATTTAAGAAGTTAGTATGGAAGAAAGGAAACGGTGAAAAAGAGACACATTATTTGTTGGATTGTTCTCTTCTAATAGTTAAGAATTTAACCAGAGTTGTATCTGCTCCGTGTCAAGGATGCTGTAGGATGAGCGTGTTGCCCAAAAATGACTTCTGTGCTGTTTCCTATTCAAAGTGTTTCTAAAACAAACAACGCTGCATTGCCCCTTTGAGCACCCCTAGCGTAGGGAGGCATACTTCTGATTTTGAAACTAAATTGCCCCAAATTCATCAAAAGGTTCTGTTTCCTTGTATGTTTTATTGCAGATTTGAAGAATAAACTTTGTGTAAGAGGTGACAAATGGCCCCCCTTTGCTCTGTTTATCTTGTATGAATAAAGAGGATGAGTTTCTACACAGAAAGCCAAGAAGTTTAAGAAACTTAAAACGTAATAGGTTGAAAAGGGACAAGAAACGGCACTTGCAGGGTGTCAAGAGAAAAGGCAGAACTGTCTGTCGGCTTTTTTTTTTTAAACAACCCATCAAGTTACATAATTTAAGGGTTTTTTTTTTGTGTCCTCATGAACTGCTGAAGGGAACTCAGGTTTTTTAAATTAGGAAACCATGTCCTTGAACTATTAGAAGACAATGTTTCTTTGTCTTTGCTTCCCTATTGTCCCTTTTTCCATGCCCCTCTGCAAGGGCAGATAGGAAATTCGGCAATCCACTTGAACCACTATTATGATAAACGTTTAAATGAATATAATGCCCCAGTTACCAATGCTAGTTATCAAGCTGAATCTTAAGGAAAGCAAAGCCTGATCGGGTAAGAAAGCTTCTGGGAGCTCTTCTGTGATTCATCATAACAGAGCAAAAGAAATTTCAGAAAAAGTCTTGTTACTTTTTAGCTTAGGTTTGATCAGATAATTTTTGCTTCCTCTAGAAATGATGAGAGAAATTGAACACCTTGATAAATATTATACAGGATTTATATAGTACTAATTATATAGCTTTTATCTTGAAAACATACCCCAATAAAAAAATTCCAAGTTCTGTAACTTGGGGATTGTAAAGATGTACGTTTTTCACTCTAAATAGCACTGTCCCGTGAGACTAAAAATTGCTCTATCGTGTTTAGTTCTTTGGAGAGAAAAAAATAGAGAAAATAGGAGGAGGAAGGAGTATTAGGTATCTTTGCTACCTTGAGTTATTTATCAAAGAATTAGGCAAGTTACAAAAATACCTATGTTTTTATTGTGAGAAAGGACTTTTGCTTTAACTGGGGCCTTAAAAACTTGGGGAATCAAGTATGGTTGTGATATTTGAACCATATATCAAATATGCTATCTAATCTTGCAGGGCTGATCAGTGAACAAACATCAGCACCCAGGAGTGGCAAACTCCCCAGAGTCTTTCCTGGCTTCTGCCTCAATAAATGAGATGACTAAACTTGGAATCCTTTGGTTCTCTATGGGGTGAGGGTGTGTGCGCGCCTAAGGCCGTTGTCTGTAACAACCTGAAGAAGAAGGATGTTTGATCCATTCCCTCCTCTCAAAGCTTTTCAACTCATTTCAGTACAGTATGGACTTCTTTTCTCTATTAGCTTTTAAGTTAAACACAGGAAGTAAACCTCACTTGAACATCCTTCTGATTAAAAGTATTCTAGTGAGATTAGTTGCATTAGCTCAAAAGGTCTTTTTTCTTCTTCTATTAAGACTCACTAACATGAATTAGTACATCTGTACATCTTTCACTTGCAAGCTTTCCCTCTCTGCCTTCTCTGCATCCCTGGTGACATTTCAGAATATCAAGTATTTATATGGCTCACTTTCCCTGAAAGTCTTCAGACCTGGGGGACCTTGCCTAGCTAAACTTTGCCCAATATATTCCTAACAGCGCTTGTAGCCTTTCCCTGCCAAACCTACCCATTTGTAGCTTCATTGGAGCGGAGCTGCAGGAGCCCCGGAACAATGGTAGTGTACGTTCAGCCACTTGCCATCACGGCGATGCCAGACACGGGTCTCTTCGGACTGCATGGTGCGAGGCCGGCCCTGGCCATCAATATATTGAGTCAAACGGATATAGGCAATACAAGCTGCATCATCACCAATAACATGAACATGGGGATTCAGGATGGTAGTGTGGATTGGTTTGCTGTTCTTGGACAGTACTGAGGAAATACAAAAAACAATCAAGATTCTTCTCAACTCACCCAAGAGAAATTGCTTGTCAGTTGCAGTATGGCAACCACACGATCCATCTTCAGCATCTTTGTTGTCTTCGTCTATCTCAATCGGGGATGTTGCATCCACATTTCCCCCTTTTTACGAATGTTTTTTTTCTAACTTTTCTTTCCCTAACCAAACCAAAGCTCCAAGCCACCCAGCATTTCAGTTACTTTCTCCATACATTCTAAAAATGGTATTATTTTCCTGCTGTTTTGCATCTAAAGAATTCTTGGAAGGATAAAATGAATGGATTTATCATTTAACATAATCATGTGCAATAGAATCCACTTTGCCTCTATGGAATATAACAGAATTAGGAAAATTATTGATAAGGCAGACATGGATGAGCAGCAGAAAGAGGAAGGAGACAGTAACTTGACCAGCCTAAATTAGGCTTCCGCTATCTGCCTCTGGGAAGCTGTAAGATGGTGACAGAAATTTCTTTGCTCCTACCTGGCTGTCAAGAGAGGACTGTATTGCAGAGGTTTCCATCCACCCACATGATGGGAGACCAGAGATATCATTACATTGCATTATCATATTCCCTACCGCCTATACAGCAGGAGTGAGGTGCTACCAGTTCTGCCCAGCTCTACAGAATGGGTAGCTCTGAAGAGCAGCAGACACCGAACCGGTTCTGTGATTGCTGCTGTTTGGCCCACCCGCCCGCCCATCTGGGTTCTTACCTGTCCTTTACTTCCTGCTTTTTCAACCTCAACTGCTTTACACGGCACAGCTGCGGTTGAAAAAGCAGGAAAAAAGTGGCTCAAACGCTGCGCACCTGTGTGCAGAGCTTTTCAGCTGTCTGGGCGGCACAGTTTAAGGTTTTTTACATGTGCGCACAAAACATAGTCACTGAACTGGTAGTAACACGTGTTGAATCTCACCCCTGCTATACAGGATACCTCAAACCCTACCACGGAAGAAATTTGGTAGCAAAGCTATTGCTTATCTTTTGCAAGAAAAGAGAAGCAGTACTTTATGGGGCAATAGCACATTCTTTAAAACGAATGCTACCCTTTAATCTTATCCTCAAACAAACCATGGACTGAAATAAATAGAATTTTCTATTCACTTGTCCTGAATTTTAATGAAAAAAAAAAACTTTTAAGATTAGGTAGTTCTAAGAACAAATCGTAAGAAACCAAAGGGGTGTGCATCAAAGTTGGACAAATCATGTGCTACAGAGTATTAATTGAGACAGTGGATTCATCCAAAGGGAAGCAATTGTCTCCCAAACTGCACCCAAGTCAATCTGGGTCTCTACAAAATATGATGAACGCTTTGAGGGGACATAAAGTGTGGGAAACCTCTCCCTGCACAGATCTCCCTATAAATATTATCTCAATGCGGGAAAAGGGAGAAAAGGCCTTGTTTTCACAGCAGCACCAGCTCTCCATTGGAACATTTCTTTTTGGTCTTCTTTTCAATCACAGCTTTTGTGAGGAAAATAGAAGGAAGATGATAATAGAAAACCCCAAATCCCCCCACACAAAAGGACAGTACTAGAACGAATACTTTTCGCATGTTAAGATGGTATTTATCAGGATGAAGGACTTAATTTCCCCATGATTTTACTTGGTAAGAAATTAAATTTTAGAACTATTTTTCATTCACAATACTTTTATAAATGTACTCTGCATCTGCCTGTAATCTACATTAGCATAGAAATCATGATTAGGAAAGAAAATACATTTTTAACTCTTTCCTTCGTCCCCTACAAGTCAACTTTAAAGATATATAATACAAAGAACCCTGTCTCTTTCCTTCACAATTTTTACAGTTTTTCCCCTTGGAGTGTTTCTGTGACAAATATCATTTTTGTGTATGCCTAATCAGAAAATAGAACAAGCCAATCCAGCTTTGAAAACGCTTTAAGTATAAAGATTTCCCCCAGCTAGTCAAAATATGGCAGGCGATTTCACAAATTATATCCAATCTTATGAATAAATAGATGTTTTTAGCAGCTCCTCTGCATCTGTTTATCTGCAAATGGGCTGGTACTTTTGACTGTGTTTACATCACATCATATAATTCTGTCCAAGAGTAATTGCCATTTGTTAATGCTGCAGTGACTCAGGAAGCTTTGGGTTTCCAGAAACAAGGTTCTATTTGACCCTCAGTTTCAGTCGGGCAATCTCTGAAATGGCCCATGGCAAACTGAAGTACAAACTCCATCTCATGATTGAAATTGGTTATTGTTAATTTTACTGCACTGCCATATGTGAACCACAGTGAGAGCCACTGCCTGTCCTGAAAACCCTAAATGATTTGGGAACTAGAGTCAAACTCAGCAGAACCTCCAGTCACCTCTTTCCTTTCCATATTTTCCCATCAAAGGAGAGAAGACACCTTGTTTGCAAGTAGAGAGCTTTATCCTTTCTTCTTCCTGCCATTCCTGGGGATCTCTGCCTAGAAAGACTTGCCTGGAAGCTATATTGTTTTTGCTATTTTTCCAAACATTGCACTTCCAAATAGGTTGTAATTTTCCTTTCAACATTAATTTGGGTTTTGGTCACATTGATTGCTGCTAAGTATTTTAATATATATTGTTCTGCAAAATATTGAAGTGTAACCTACATTCCTGAAACAGGTGAAATTAAAAATAATTAGAGCACTTTGCTATAATTTTCTACTTTTGTAGTTCACTAAGACATATTCTCCTTATTGTTAAATAATAAGAATATGGATGATACTTTTTACTGTAAATTGCCCAACAGAGTTCAGTGGTTGTCAATATAATACTTTAAATTAATATGCATTCTATTTATGATATTTAATTAATACATACATGCAGTGCATTAGTAAAACACATAAATGAAATCTTGATGCAATTAGATATAGGACTATATTAAAATTTCAGTGAGTTTTGTTCAACACATATGTGTACTTCTAAAAACAGAGAATGCTGCCTTTTAGGTAGCCAGGAATTTTTCAGGGTTTTAAGTATGTGCTTCTTAATTTAATTGTTTAATTTATATGTCACTCATCTCACTGTTGAGTTACTCTGGACAGCTCTTGACCCTTTAGAGCCGGGGTGTCCATCCTTGGCAACTTTAAGACGTGTAGACTTCAACTCTCAGAATTCCCCTGCGTTCCCCAGAATTCCCTAGATACCATCAGGTATTCAATCCCTCGTCCTACAAAACAAGGTGGTATCAAAAGACAATCACAGAGATAGAAAGCTGTAGCAAAGTGCACGTGCTTTATATGCAAGATTTGGAAATAAAAAGGGAACAAAATGGAGGACATGGAACAGATTTGTCCAATCTCAGAAACAATCTGGGAAAAACTGTGTGAATTTTGGAAGTGTATATATCAAAGTTACAATATGATCCTTACTGACAACTAGTCCAGAGCTGGAGATGAAATCCCAGACTGTTTCCTACCCATGGAGAGAGGGGGAAGAATCATTTTGAATTTGCCAGTTATCTACCACTCACAGTTGTCAAAGTAAAACTTGTGGAAGTCCATCCCCTCCACGAGGTTCCCCAGTGCTTCAGGTTCAAATGAGGTCAGCCCAGGATCACAGATCTTCCTATAACAAATGAAGTAATCTGATCTCATTGGCATCTAATCCTTGAAATCATTTATCAGACAACCGCAACTATTATTATTACACATTGTTGTTAGTACTGTGCCACTTTGATGCAGGTTTTCCCTATCAAAAAACCCTGAAGCAGCTTCAAATATAAGGATACAATCATTTATGCTAATTATTTCTTGCTTTAGAGAAGATCTTAACTCTCCCTTGGACTGACAAAATAGTTAGAGATTATAGGAAAACAAACCTTGGGTGGAACTGTTCTAGTTCCAAATTCAATATATGGGATTCATTTCCAAGTGCATTTATTTATGCTGGTTTTCTATTCCTATTAGGACTCAAAACACATAGACTCATAATTTCCTCCTACTTAACTATTCTTTTTCAGATTAAATAACCACTTTTTCAGAAAAAAACCCTAACAATACTTTAGTATAAAGGAATGAGTTTGATACAATGAGTATTTTTTCATGCTTTCAAAATATTGATATTGACAAGCTGCATTTATTACATGTATTTCATATTGGTTCTACAGCATCGACAAATATTCACTTATGCTTGTCTGGTGTTCTAGCTAAAAAACACAAGGGCGTATTTGACAGTCAATGTTATCAATCAATAGGTTACAAGTATTTCTGGCTATTAGTTGGCACAAACTTTCATAGCTTAAGTAACTAATTATATGTAGTCCTCGTGTAGCTACAATTGGGACTGGCACTTTGGTTAAGCAAAGCAGTCACTAAGTGAAACTATAGTTGTGTTTATGATCTGTCTTCAGCTTTCCTTTGTTTTATAGACCTGCAAAAGTTGTAAAAAATGTGAAGATTAAGAAGAAAAAGTTACTTTTTCATTGATCGTAATTGTGAGTGGTCACTAAATGAGGACTAACTGCATGATCATTATATGATACATAAAGGACCTCTGCATTTCTTCACTTACGTGTAAGCTTCAAAGTCTCCATTGTTGATTGCTTCGATCAGCTGCTCTGTTATCTTGATGATTTCTTGCTTACGTACTGGGGACAAGCGTAAAAAAGACAATTTTAAAGCCCTGGAATTATGAAAACTATATGGTGAATAAGTCGCTCCCTCAAGAGAATCAACAGGGAAACTACCAGTCTTCTTGCAGGGGGAGCTGACTTCTTGCATTCCAGAAAAGCAGCCCAGTCATGAGGTTAACCATTTGGAGAAGGGATGGACAACTATGGCTCCTTTACGACCTGTGGACTTCAACTCCATAGTGCAGCTGGCTCAGGAATTTGGGGAGCTGACGACCACAGGTTGTAAGGGGGCCATAGTTGCCTGTCCGATTTGGAGAGATGGCACCTGCTGTTAAGAGGAAAGAGCTCAGGAAATAAGCTGCGCCATTCAGAAAGTCAAGGTGTTGTACTATATTTAAGACATAATCCATATACAGCAGTAATGTTCCAAGAATCAGGAACAAATTTGGAAGCGTCATCTCTGTGATGAGAAAGATTCACCAAATGATGCAAATCTGAAGAAATGGGCACATTACAAGCCTATTGCTGGTTTACTATTCTCTCAGAAGCTAAGTAATTGTACCAGGAATGTTATTTTTCATCCAATGGCCACAAACCGGCTTTTCACTGACAGGAATAAATTTAAATTAGATATCCTCAATATAATAACTTTTCTTTAAAAAAAAAATCCATCAAATCAGACATTGCAATTTAGTAGCAAATTCTGGAAGGTTTGTATACTAATTATTTTAGGGGATGTACCCTTAGTTTCACGCTATGCAGTTCTAGTTTGAACCACAATTCGTATTTTGTAAACTACTATGGTTCTGTAGAAACCTGGGTTTTAGTAACTATGATTTATATTGACATACACTAGAAATGTCATCACCATCAAAACTTTAAGGTTGGTGGGATAAAATGCAGATCTGCAGAAAGAAGTTTAATCGTGTTTGTACTGACCCGGATAAGATTATAGTAAGACCGCCGGCTCTTTGAAACTTTCAACAAATTATGCAAGCATGGGGTTGCAGTTACAGAACTTCAAACACATTAACAAGAGAACCCACTGACAGGTTTTCAGACCCTGCCTCCAGTGTCTGCTTGGTGGCTTAAATAAATGATTTAATAGCAACAGTTTTTATTCTTGAATAAAATTGTTGCTTCTCCTGAAAATGTTCCAAGTGCAGCCTCATTCTGCTAGAAGGTCTTTGCTAAACTGATCAGCATTTAGCAAAGTCATCAGCGTTTTCTTGCAGCCTTTTATTTGAATTATCTGAAGAAGTGTCACACCGGCAATAATTCTCAGAGAAATAGCTCAGCCTCTAGGAGTAGAACCTCAGCAATGGTTTCAATAGAATACATTTGCAGGCCTTGTGATCAATCCACTATCCTGCCTTTTACCTTTTAAAGGTGAGGATTAGCGACGAGGACAGAAGATTCTCTTGCTATGAAGAAACCATCTTGCTTTCATGTTGGGCATGAAAATGTTCAGGCTTTCATTTGAAGAAACATTTTTGTCCCTTATTCAATTAGCCTTTGTGACTATTATTCCCAGTTTTATGTATGCCACAACAACTTTTTACCTCAGCTCAAAATTCTAACTCTCACCACGTAAGGAAATTATTTAAGTTAAAGTTTCAACTGCACACAGAAAGCATATGGTTAGAATTCAGTTACGCTCCAGCTGAGCAATACGGTATATTTAATATCCGTTTCTGATTTCCTCCATGACAGAAATAAATGGCTTCAAGAAACAGGTTGATCGGTAGATCTTGAATGTTTACAGACATGTCATGTGAATGATAACAGAAGTTCCGCTACGCTATTGTTCATTTATAAGCAAAAACAACTCATGCCTTCATTTTTAAAGTCTTCTGAATGATATCCACTGGTGCAATGCATTATGTATTATGCTATGCTTCTCTTTATCCAATTACAAAAAACATGCAATGCTTTTGTAAAAGCAGACGTGTGCAGTTTATCTCATGTCTGTCAATCTTTTCTGAAGTCAAAGAGCAAAATGTTCATGACATCTTTAATCCTTACCAATTTTTTTCCTGGTTACCTTCCAAGGGTTTGCACAACCAAGCATCTTGCTTTTGTGGAAACCTTGAGCTTGAAGCCATGGAATCAAAGCCATGGAATCTTTGTCATCGACCATTTGCATAATGGTTAGCTAATTGATACATTAAACCATTCATGCTAGAATGGATTAAAAGGCCTACTGTGTTGTCATTCCATGGGAAGTTAGATCTGAATGGAAGGTACGGATGAAATAGCGCTTTCAAAGTTGATATACTGAGCAATACATTATTACTACTTTTATTGTGCTTAGCATCAATAAAACAACAAATACTGTCAACAGATTGTACATATGCCAGCTACTAAATTATGTCCAAATAGACTAAACATCTCAACCAACAAGAAAGAAACATCATATTTTTCAATAATCTGTTTTTCTCCCTTTCCTACTTAACTGAGGCATTTTTCCATAGATCCATGTCACAGTAAACAAAATATATTTATATTCAAATACTTGGGTGCAACTTTCCAAGTTTTGACAACCTGATATTAACAGCAGAGGCATATCACTATCAGGCCCATAAACTTTCAAATAAATTCTGCATTTTTCTAACCATAATGGCAATAATCATATTTCTGCTGCAACAAATATATTCCGAGTTCGGATCTTTCAATGCCTGCTATATGGTAGATATATTTGTTACTACTGTGACTTGAGCCTGTAGAGGCAACTCAATCTAAATTTTGGAGACCTGTTCTGAATACCATTGAAGCCCTGGAATCTTTAATTTCCGTGGAGACTCATATGCAGCCTGGCTACCTGAAATATTGGATTAACGTCTTTTTTTATGGAGTATCTTGGTCATTTTATGTCCGCACAGAAAATAAGTATCCAATTATGGCCTATCAGCCCACCATCTGTCTTTACTTAGCCTTGAAATAGCTCGATTTGAGTACTCCAGTACAATCCAAATAAAACTCCAACTTTTAGAGGAGCGAGCTTGCTTGGGAGACCATTATCTCATGTCTAAGTGTCCCATTTCTAAGCAAATATTTCTTGGACATCTGAGTTTCTATCTTTATCTGCTACAAAAAAACATTTTGATCTTTGTTGTTCGAAGGAAGATTCAATGATGAATACTTTATTATGGCCTTGGACTGAAGCAAACATGACAGTATAAACAGAAAGCTTTTAAAACCAAGGGGAGTGCAGTAATCATCATGGATAACAGACAGTAAAACATAAGCTTGCTTTGATGATCATTACATGTAATAAGCAAAAAAATAAACTTAATAATCCAGTCAACATAAACAATATTAATGATTTTAATGAGAATTGCAAAGAACTTTGTGGCATTCATCACTCACTCTTATCATTTAGGTTTTCATGTAGGTAGAAAGGACAATGTGGAAAGATGGCCAGCTGATTCAGTTCCCATCCTATGGCTTGGGCAAGGATGTTCCCATTTTGTCATATAACTAAATATGTAGGAAGATTCCTCAAGGGACCCTTTGTCACTGCCCGACAGAGGAAACAGCAACGATTTCTGATATGTTTTTGTGCTGTCTCTTCTTCGTGATATGCCCTTTGAAAGTCCATTCCAACAGCGGCAGCTCAGAGGAGGAGAATACTTTGAGGATAAGTTATCTGATAATTCTAGAAGAGATGCTAATTTGCTACAATTGACAGTGGTATTAACAGATGGTTTCTTAGGATTTTTGTTAACATTTCCATGTACATTTTTCTCTATAACGCTTGGTCAACAATGTTCAATTGGTCAATGACTTATCCCAGGGTGAAACGTAAGGGGATGCAGATAGAGTGTGGCACATGACAGTTTTCCAGGGGTGGGGACACTTAGTAATGAACAGCTTACTAACTAATTAATTCAAGCAGAAAGTGGTAACTGCTATAGGAGGATAGAGAAGAAAGGTAGGAATAGAAAAATTAAAAAGGGGAAGTGTTAAAATAAGGGGCATAAATCATTACTAATATTTCTCTACCTGCTACTACTACTGCTAATGAACATCTAACTTACATGATAGACTGTTAAATGCAAATGGAACTACTGGAGTTAGGACAGGCTCCGACCGAGCACGATCCAACTCCACTGTCTGCCCTGGGCTATCCCAGGCAAGAAGCTTCTCTTCATAAGACAGTGTAGCAGTAGCTGCAAAACAAATGCAAGCATTAAAATAAAAACAAAAGCAGAAAGCAGGATAAGAATAGCACTGAAAATACAAATCCACACCCATTCACATAGACAAAATCCCAGAGCACACATTGCTCCTGGATACGAGAAGCGCCATTCCTTGACGGATCTCTGGAACACCTTCTCCATTGGAGGGACACATTGAGTATCTTTTCAAAGAGATCCATTCTTTTGATATACTGACTCTGAGAACTAAATGAGACACAAGGTGGAGAATAAAATATTCCACCGATTCCATGTTACAATCAAAGCTATACTGCAGAGAGAAGTTTGTTTGTCTGACCCAGGAGCATAATTTCCAGACATTTAGGAGGAAACAAAAGACATCGCAATTATTTGGAATTTTTTAAAATGCCAATTTCAGCAGGGAAAATGTCAGACCTTGTCCCCAAATCAATATTTTCTTATTAAACCAATCAATAAGTTGGAGGGGGCATTGTAAGAAGGCCAGAGCATTACATCCCTGTCTCCTATAACAATTTTTGAGTGAGCAATTCAACTTAATCTCAGTAGGTTGGGGATCAGATCAAGGGTACTTTGAAGGTCATGGAAGAAAAGTGAGTTACAAATGCAGCAAGCATAATGCTACTGTTCTAATTCGATTATATGCTTTCTCTGTCCTACTGAAGAAAGATAGAAAAATACTAAGTGCCCATTAATAACTCTCGGTGCTTTTCCCACCTCATTTTCATGCAAGCAAAGAACCTTCTGTCTTCACAAATGCAACATTTGGGACTGTCTGACTGAGAAAGCAGATTGACCAAACAGGTTTTCAAGTATCTCTGTTCCTTTCATTTCTCCTAACACCTCTTAATATCTACTTCCTCTAATCAAGGTAGATTACTCAAAAATGTGGAAATCTCTACAGAATGACAGCCAAATACTAAGCCACATTTTAAATTAGAAAACTGTTTTCTCACTTTGATGACTGCAAAACCAAACAAGAACAAGAATATATTTAGTGACTTTTTGCAATCTGTCCAGATGTAATGGATAGTCTGCAAGGCATAGCCAGGAAGATTTTTCTGTTGACTCAAGAAAGGTAGGCTTTGTCTCACCAAGTCCAAGAAAATGTCTTTAAATAACAGAACCATTTTGTATTACTTCAGCCTGTGCGGACTTCAAGTCAACACATCTTAAAGTTGCCAACCAACCAAATACTGGTCTAGTGGTTATATGAACTGGAGGAAGAAACAAAACACTGACAGTATAGAGACTGGCTTTGTTAACATTAAGCTTAGTCAGGTTAGAAGTTGGTCAAATAAATTCAAGGATCCCTTCACTTTTTTGATTCTGAGGCTTGGGAGATTCATGTTCAAATTCCTGAAGTAAAAGCCTTGAAAGATCAAACATGGGGCCTTTTGATAATTATGTAAAGCGAAACTAAGAAATTGTCTCAGCTTAGGTCTAATTTTTAATTATTCTACAGAGAGGCAATTCACAAGAACAATGTGAAGATGATGCTTCCCCAACTGTGTAACACTGCCTTCCTTCCACCACTACAGATGTTTCATAAGGGGAGAAATAGATCCTGTGACAGTCATCCCATAAGTCATTTTTCCTTAAAAACAACACCTTCATTATACTCAGTGAAGTTGCCCAACGCTTCAGATTTTTTAATATCATATAGTAACATAACCACTTATTGTGACTTTACTAATGTAGCTCAATGTACGGAACAGTACAGTGGAAGGGAACCAAAGTATAGGTAAGCAATGCCAAATGACCTGCTCAGAAATGAGTAACGTAGACAGTGACTCCCAGGTATGCGCCAAAGCTGTTGTTTCGGGAGGCATGAACCCTGTTTAAAACAGGCTGACCCTCAATCTAGTTTTCTGTTTAGAAATAAAAGATTTTGATCACTTGGAGTGACCTATAAAACATTACAAGCTTGTATGCTGCTTTCGCCGGATTCTGCCACTTCCCACCCTACCCCTTTTTCCAAAGACAAGGGAGAACAAGGCAACCAGTGGATTAGTACAACCTAGTTACCCATTAGATGGTAGCAAGGCATTTGCACTTTTATGACCCTGTGCTGCCACCCTGTGATCATCCAGATTTTTGCATGGGGGGCATGATTGGAGATGTAATTCCATAATTGAGGGGCTTGCCTTGATAGATAAGCAAGAACAGTTTGATATAAGAACTCTCCAGAAGCATCACATCCACACAGAACAACGCAAGTACTTTCCTTCAATTCTAGTCAGTAAGTTAAGGTCGGTTTAAAGGACTCATTATGACATGCTGTAAATAATGGAAATTAATGTTTTGCCTATTATAGCAGCTTGAACTGTGAATAGTTCATCCTATAGTTTTTACACATTGCATAGAAATACTGCAAATCTGTTTTCCCGGAAACTACTAGCAAGATTCAATAAGATTCCTAAATGGTTAAATATTAGAAATGAGAACAATGATGAAGTTGTTTACATACATAAAGAAATATATGTGTGTGTTTTCTTAGCCATCATTGTTTTTTTTTGCCTTCTGGGCTTTTGTGTTAAATGTCTTTAACAATTGTAAAGCATCCAGAGCTGCTGAGAGTCAGGTGGTAAGTAAATTTAATAAATAACAGTAATATCTCAGGTCCTTGGGAAGGACTCAATAGGAAGATAAAACTATCAAATCCAGTTTAAACATTTGGCTGACTGTGCAACCGACCACAATAATAATATGCCCAGTCAGTAAACCAGCAAATCCAGAAGACAGGAATTACAATAACTCTTATTCCTTTAAACGGCGTCAATCAATCTTTTCTATGCACAGAAGCTGGCATAGAAAAAAACCGCTTTGCCAATGACCCTGCGATCCTTGCTCTGTTTTCTCTTTAGCTGTATGTACCTTTCAAATCTTCATCTTCAGTGGTGGTATTGCAGCTCTCTGTAGAACCCTGCAGGATAGAAACATCAGCATTCACAAGACAGGCAGACTTCTTCAAGAAAATCAGATGAGAAGGAACAATGGACACTTGGTAACTTTCATTCATTTGATGCAGTCTTATACCATATACTATTTTGAAATTCCACTAGTAATTTTTTATTGCCCCTTTCCTCATTGCACTGGCCTCTCAACATCTCCAAGCCACAGTATTGTTTAAATTACAGATAAATTATGGAATGCCTTCTGTAATCTTCTATACTCTGAAATTTTGTGGATATACGAGGGCTATCCACAAAATAGGTTCGTATCGTTGCCCGTTATTTCACAGCAAACATTTGAAATGTGTGCTGCAATTGAAAATCCCGTGAGTTGTGAGGTGTGATCAGTGATAAGGTTTCTGTTGGCAAAAAACCATAAACCGATTGGGAGATTTTTCCTCATCCGCCCTACAGCCCCGATCTTGCACCAAGCGAAAGCATTCAGGACTTCTCGAGTGCCGTAGTTCGGCCATTTTTAAACTGAATGCACCATTGGCGCATTCCACCTTCAGTGATGATGTTGTCCCTGTACACTTCACACAGTTGCTGAAAAATTTCAATCGGTTTATGTTTTTTTACCAACAGAAGCCTTATCACTGATCGCACCTCACAACTCGAAGGATTTTCAATTGCAGCACACATTTCAAACGTTTGCTGTGAAATAACAGGCAACGATACGAACCTCCCACTAGCACGACTAGATGCAGACTGAGCAGCGGATGCACAGACCAAAGATGGCCGCGCTAGTTCCGCCCCTTCTTGCTCCAGACGAAAACGTAATCTATTTTGTGGATAGCCCTCATATTTATTCTTTTTTTACATCAATCTAGTGATGCCTGCCTGGCACAGGGCTTTCCTCCTAGAGGTCAAACTGTATGACTCACACAATGATTGTGTGACTCCCAGCAACCCAAACTTTCCCAGCCGACTTCTTTATAAGCAAAACCAATGGGGGATGCTTAACAACTGGGTTGGCTTAACAGCTGCAGTGATTCACTTACAACCTATGGAAAAAGATGGTTAAATTGGGTATGACTCACTTAAGAACTGCCTTGCTTAACAACATAAATTCTGGGTCCAATTATGGTTGTAAGTGGGGAACTAACTACATTATTATGTTGTAGATTTTGATTTCTTTAAAATAAAACCCAACTACAAGCTTTTATATGGGATAACATTCAGGGTCAAATGGATCAAAGTTCACAATTAAAAGAAAGCTTACAATAATAAAAGAAATCATGGTCAGGAAGAGAAGTTATACTGAAACTGCATATGATGAGAAACACCACACCTAATTTGTAATTTGTAGGAAAGTTATATTTTGTATCAATTTTGTGCCAAGCATAAAAATGGAGTACAAGAAAATGTTCAATAAGTTTAGTATTTTAGTAGCTTGCATTATAATTTCTGTATCAAAAAAGGAGAAATCTCTGATTGAAATTTCCAAATCAGCCATAAATATAGATATATTTCAAAATAAAATGAATTTTTTTGTTATGCCAGCTATCTAAATAATGAGGTAAGCCAGTTAGACAGCATAGGACTCAGGAAAAACTTGCCAACCATCTTTTCTAGCAGGTTTATACAATTAATTAAATATAACTTTGGCTAATGTAAATCCTAGGTAATGCATGCAATTTCAAATGATAAAGAAGAGGCCAGTTCAGAATTATGGAGGTCTTTTGTGAATCTCACCTTACCTTTATGCCATCATTAGCATTGTGGACAACAGTCGTTTGGGGTTCCTAATTGAAAGAGGACAGAAATAAAGAATCAAAATCTAGCTCAAAGTAGGTTTCCTTCTCTGTGCAGTATCTGTTGGGAAAGCAAAATAACAAACAAGAACAAAGCGCAAGATTTCTATCTGAGGATGGTGTGAGCAGATAATAGATATACACAAACCACTCCCTTGGAGAGCCCAAAAGTTACTCAAAAAGGCCCACTAATACCTACATTTTCTAGGAGACAAAGCCATGTGTATTTCTCCATATTCTAAAAATCTATACATTTCATCTGAAAGCTCATTACAACTATCAAGTAAAAAGTTTGGGCAAACTGTTGTAATTCATTAAATAAAAGGAAAATGTTCACTTAAAACTTCACTCAGAATAAAGAGGCTGAACATATGGCTTTGTCTCCATATCTTCCCCACAGGGCTTCTTGGAATTATTTCTCTCTCTATAAGGACATTCATAATTTCCCACGCAATGGGCGACAAAAGCACCCGTATAGGCCATAGCAAAGAACTACACGGAGAATAGGCAAAATCTCATGTTTGATTCAAATGGAGTTGCCAAGATGGGATGACTAAGAGAAGAAGATAGCTAAGCAACTTACAAGCAACTCTTTTAAAGCCAGTGTGTTATGGGAGACACTGTGTATGTGGGAATGAAAATTATGAAATATCCCAAGAGGGGAAAAAAGCATTACAGGGAATGAAAAGCAACTATCCAGTCTCTAAGAATCCCACTAAGGTCTTACACTGGCCCTCATTCCTGAATGATTATGGAGAGGCTTGTCCTTATCCAGTTTTGTTCCCCGGGAGCCCTCAGGTGCCCCCTCGTCAGCAGTAGGACTGAGGGCATAATGCCCTCGCGTTTTCCCCTCAGATACCGCATAAGGCTACCACTCGGTTTTTAAGGACAGCCAGCAAAGGGGCCTTTGGAATGGGTGGCCCTCAGCAAGAGTGTTAGTGGGGAGTAGCGAAAAACCCTGTGCAAATCAGACCACAGGAGAGTTTTCCCTTCCTTCTTCCTTCCTTGGAGACTGGATGCTGATGGCCACTCTGCTACGGCCTCCTTCGGGTCTGGCCAAGCTGCAGGACCCACATACAGACACTAGAGCACTTGGCACCTCCAACTGGCAAGGAAAGTTGGGATAATGTTTGGGAGTGCAGACAGAACTAAGCCAAAACAAAAGAGCAACACAGGCAGCATTCTGGCCAAAGGTAAAGGACCAAAAATGAAGCAAGGACAAAGAAATGGTTGGGAAAGATACCATGGACATCTGCACTGGGGGCGTTTCTTTTGCTGGGCTTACTACACTGGCTTTGTTGTTGGTCTGTGGCTAAGACAGAAAAACAGATGGTTTAGTTTTAGCTCTGCCCCCCTTGGGCAGTAATCATAACAACATGACATTTATTGCTAAAAATTAGTTCAGTCCCTTCCCAAATCAACCCTATGAGAGAAGAGATCTGGAGGACAATAACAAGCACTGCTTTATTTATCACCTCCCACCGATAATGCCCGAAAGTTAGAGAGGATGGGGAAAAGGAGGAGATGAAAATGACGGTTGGCCCAAAGTCTATGGAGGAAAATGAGTTGCCCCAGACAGACTTAAATCAACCAATGGGCGGAGGAATTAAGAAAAAGGAACATATTTAGATGAAGCGAAGTCAGCTGGGCAGATCCAGGTGTGCATTTTGTAAGAAGAGGTTAGCAAGTGAGCCAAGGCACCTTCAGGTTCACCTGTAGGACTTAATACCGAAAAGGGAGGCTTCATTACTGGGCTGAAAGTTACAGAACAAATTTGCTTTGCACCGGCCTGTAACCATGCCTGAAAGCCTGTTGCATTCAGTAGGACTAAGTGGATGTAGCCCCATCGAGGGCTGGATTACCTAGGAATTCCAAACAGCTTCTTACAACACCTATGATAAATGCAGGACAAAATAACAACCTCCAAGTAAAATGTAATGAGCAAAAAAAGCATCTGGATACAGAACTCCCGCCATCACGCTCTTTTGGGGGGAGGAGGGGGGCCTGTGACAGAATCAAGGCTCTTCCAGATCTTCTTCTTTGCAACGGCACATTTCAACAGGTACCAAGCCCAATTCCCCATTTTAAAGCTTTTCATATACAGTGACATAAAAAAACAATTATTATGAATTTCTCAAATATTTAAGAGCAGTGCTGTGAATAGTAATAATGTAAAACAGAAAAATGATGCCCTCTACAGGCAGTCCTCGCTTAAAGAACCCTAATTAGGACCAGAGGGGATAGTCGTTGGGAGAAACAATCCTGCACAAACTGATGGCTCCATCCTGTTGTCTCCTCCCCAGCTGGGTCCAGCAAGCTCCCTTCCCCAGATGAGGCTCCCCCACGATGCTGTGCTTGCTCCTGCCTCGGTTCCCCCACCAATCTTACCCCATCTCTGCCCTTTGGGCTGCCCTGCACTCCACTACTAAAGGCCAGCATCCACCCCAGCCAGGCTGCTTCAACAGCACCAGAGGAAGAAGACAACGAGTGGGGGCAGTTATACATTCAGGCGGGCTACCAAGCACCAGCATGTTGATTTTGAGAGCACTGCAATGGCAACAGCTGCAAGGACTAGTCATAACTAACATTTATGCAACACTGTCATAATTTTGAAACAAATGGTAGTTAAGCAAGAACCACCTATAGACGGGGTGGGATTCAGCCAGTACAGACCAGTTCAGGCAAACCCGTAGTTCTCATCCTCGCTACCTGGAGAGTCCAGGAATGGGTTATGCTCCTCCTTCTGACATCAGAGAGCTGAGTCTGCCAGTATAACAAGCCAGCCTCTGGCTGGCCCACCCATCTTTTGGCTCAGCTTCTTGTCGGAGAGCAGTCTCTGGAAGAAGTACTTTTAAACAGCTAAAGGAAAAATTTGGACTCAAAGAGATAGCAATAAATTTAAAATCCAGCTCCTGGGCATCCAGTAGAGCTCTGCCTCCAGGAGAGCGGTGATCCGCTCTCCTGCAATGCCGAGGCTTTGGCCCTGTAGCGCAAGGACTGCGGACCCAGGGAACATTCAGAGGAACCTCTCATGCAGCCCCACTGATCGCAACTTTGCTGTTGCTGCCGCCGGCCTAGCCGCTTTACAGCTGACTCCGAAGCTTTGTTCTTGCCGCTTCTTAGCTGTTCCAGCTTAATTCGATCGGTCGGGGCCTGGGAAGAGCATAAGGAGCAAAGACGGTGGCTAGGTCGTCCCAGGGCCACCCCGCATGGTGGATGGCCATTTTAGAATTGCTGGGTGGCCATTTTGTTTTTAGGGAAAGTGCTTCCCCAAGGCCTCAGTCTCCTGACTCGCCTGGCCTAGGCAACGGGCAGCACCTACATTCTGTCCTATATTTCCTTTATTTAAAGCCCAGCTGATTGGCACGGCAGTGCAGATTGCCACGCCACAGCTGTTTTTACTCACCAGGGCTGGAGTAAAAGGCAAGTTGTCTTGCTATTTTCAAATGCAATGCACATGCGCATAGCGCACGTTTGGTGCACGCTCAGCGAACCGGTCGTTACACCGTTTGAATCCCACCACTGCCTATAGAAAATAAAGATATCTGTTGCTTCAGTATTATGAAAGAAACACAGAGGACAGAGGATCCATGGGATCTGACCTCTCAAATTTCTGCCTAAGAATTTGCAAGTATTCCAAATACCTGCCTCCCTTTGAAGAACCAAACTTAGAAAAGGCTTCATTCCTAGAATTAGCTCCTTGGAATTGGTACTGAAAAGGAACTCTACCTGGATGTTAGTGCCAACTCTTGCTCGAACAAGTCTAAGAAAATCAGCCATTCTATGAGGGATGCCACACTTGGTCCGGGTCTCCCTCCTTAATTAATCAGGCCTCAGGGCTTCCAAGTAACTCCTGACATCTTGGGCAGTGGTGCTCATTCAGCTTTCCTATCCAAGATGCCTCTGCCCCAGATTGCATCATTTCACCCCAAAAGAAGCCACCATTGAGGAAAACCCTTGAGAGAAGTTTTGAAGGACTACTATGGAGAGCAACGATCCCCTTGTTCTTTTTCTACACATATTGAGAATATCTGAGAGTTTTTTAAAAAACTACTGGTAGTTTTATTGTAGTTTGGTGTTAAGACAAAGACGTGAAGATAGAAACAAGGAAAAGGAAATAGCCTGGGAACAGATTTTTAAGATCACAGCTGGATTACAACCTACCAATAGACTTCTAGCTGGTTTCCCTTCCTTTTAGGCTGAAGTCTAACCAAGGAAGTAAAAGTGACAATGAAGGAGGCCCCTCTAACTTGAGTCCTGTTCCCCAATACAGGATGATTTCCTGGTAAAACATCACAGAATGAGATCAAAGTAAAGAGTTCACTCTTATGTGGTGATTCCATAATATGGCAGGCTTATGATGAGGATAACCAGAAGTAGTGCTGATGGTGGATTGGCCCCGATCTGCAAGGAATGTCAGTTTGTTCACCAAATGCTCCATCCAACAAATTGCTGGTTCTGAACATGTTACACCCTTTCACATCTTCTGTAATTTTTTTTAAATTTAGTTATATGTTGTTACTTTCTCGTCATCTCAAAATCCAGTCCTACTCGTATAGCCTGTTGTCATTGCAATTGCTGCTACTCTAATGGACATGCAATAAAAATGACAGGGCTTAGGAAGAATATAAAGTACAATGGTGTGCATGTGTGTCTGGTTGAATAAGTTCACAAATTTGTGCTATTTTTAATTGTTGATATCTTTGCACACTTTTTACCGTTATCATCTATTTTGGAATGCATCTCAACTTCTCAAAAAGTATGTTCTACCACCTGTGGGCTTGATCACAACCTGTTCTGAGTACGACATCCCAGAGAAAGACCAGGCACTGGGCATGATCTGAGCCCTTGGGCAAAACTACTGGCCCTCCTCAAAAGGCTTGACCCCGTCATCCTGGACTTCTATATCCATTAAAATCCATTGTTACATTGATAATGTTTTTTATAATTTGCTTTGATGACAGCTTTAATATATTTAATACATTTCAAATATTTGGAGGGGAGAGCTAGCACAACTGGACTCAACAAAGGTATTTTTTTCCTGCAGATTATATTGACATCTACTGATCATGCAACAATCTGTTAACTGATGCAGATGGTTCATGGGTTGCTTTTGCCGGCCTTGGATGTAACAAAGATTTGACTGGATATTGGCTACAGATAGCTGCATTCAGCTTCTTGTGAAAACAATCCCCTGCAACTCTGCTGAAATGGTAAATGATAATGCATCAGTTGTCTCTGAAATGTCTGTAGAAATGTACATTAACAAACTTCATTAGTAGTATTTTAATAGGTTTGTTTCATAAACTCAAAGTTCTAGTTTTGTTTCACAGGATACACAAATTCAAATGCACTGTAATTATTAAAAGCAAATGCCAGTTTTATTCCCACCCCCCAACATTAACCATGAATGGGGACAAAATCCATACAAACTCAATTTATCACCTTTAGAAGATGTGGCATTACAATGCGTCAGAATCCCTGGCACAGATATATACAAGGGATGTTCCATTTTGTTTTGCCTGCATTCAAAGAAACCTTCAAAATGTGGGAGGCTCTGAAGAGATCTAGGAGAGAATTAGCCCATGGCAGGTTTTCATATGATAAGTGAGCTACATTGCATACCTCCAAACTGGTTTGAAAGGGAGTCTTCATTCGTTCACAGAATGAATAAAGGAAAGAACGTGTCTGTGAACACAGACATCCTATATCCCTTTATGCCCTATCCAAAATAAAATTCTGCCATCTAATCCAGCATCTCTTGTCCCAGTCTGGCTTGACTAGCAGGCCCTTCTCTAACCTTGATAAAGTAGCATCCTCCATTTCTTGGCTTAGAGAGTGTTGGAAAATCAAATGTAAAAAGAAAAAAAAATCAAAGTAAGTTTGCATGTTTAAAAAGCATAACTGCATGCAAAAAAGTATTTAAGAAGTCACTATTCTGCCTTGATCCCACCATATCTACAAAATAATGAGTCCAAATGGGAGATGCTAGAATGATAAGGAGCTTGAAAAAAAAACTTACAAGGAACGATTGGAAATGTTGAGTACCTAATAGATGTTTATCTGGGGAAACCTAACTGGTTTTGCACCATTTCAAGCACTATAGGTGGGGGTGGGATTCAACTGGTGTTACTACCATTTCGTGACTACGTTTTGCACGTGCAAACATAGGTTTCAACTTACCCCAAATATGTAATTAACAGCTCATCAAAACATTTTAAGACTGCCTGTCAAAATGGCTATGAATTCTATTCATTCCTGGTACTCAAAATAAATTCCTGGACATAGAATTATTCTCATCTAAATGCATGC